TAAAATATCTCTAGAAGGACATACAAGAAACTGACAACCTTGAAAACGAAAATGGAATAGCTGGGTTAAGAGGGACAGTTTCCCCCACTAATTATACCTTTTGAATATTGAACTATGTAAAGTAATTAACTACTCAATGAATAAACTAAATTAAAAAAAATTTTTTTTAAATCAACAACTGATGGGGTGCCTGGGTGGCTCAGTCAGTTAAGCATCTGACTCTTGGTTTCAGCTCAGGTCATGATCTCCGGGTCATGAGATTGAGCCCAGTGTCAGGCTCCATGCCCAGCAAGGAGCCTCCTTAAAATTCTCTCTCTCCCTCTCCCTCTGCCCTTCCCTCATCCCACATGGGCGCATGCATTCTCTCTCACTCTCTCTCTTCCCCTCCCAAAAAAGAGAGAGAGAGAGAGAGAAATCAACAACTGAAATAATTTTCCAGTGAAGACTCTGTGCTTCCCCTGCCACTTGCTACATGCTTGCAAATGCCCAACCTGGGCATATGGCCATGCCTATTCCCTCTGCCCAGCTGAAGGTCGCTGCCCCTCGCCCACCTCGGGGGTCGGCTGCAATTGCTTCCCTGCTCAGCGAGATCTTGCCAATGATGTCGTCGTGCCTGTGGAAAGGTGGGCAGGTGAGGGTCCAAGTCATTAAGTCGAGGGAGCAGGCATCAAGGGCCGGCTGGATGGATACTTTGCCTCGGGGCATCCCACCTTCCCCCAGGTGCCCAGGCATGGGTCCCCAGTACACACACCCCACTGTATCCTCGTCCAGCACATAGAAGGCCAGATGGTGGAAATCCAGGGGCAGGTGTATGGTGTATTCCTCCCCCCAGAAGGGGCTCAGGCTCCGCCAGACAGTTGCTGTCCTGTAAAAAGGGCACAGGGGGCTGGGGACCCTTGGGTCACACAGGTGGCAGACACACACACAGGGAGCGGTGTCTGGGTCAGTTAAGGGTCCCACTCTTGATCTCAATTCAGGTCTTGATCTCAGGGTCATGAGTTCAAGCCCCACATTAGACCCCATGCTGTGTGTGGAGCCTACTTAAAAAAAAACACGAAAAAACCCACAAATACACACACAGAAACCCCAACACTCACATACTCCGAGACCTACATACACACACATACACACACACACAGTCCCATAAGGAGGCACATGAAAAGAGAGACACTCACAGATACACCAAGAAAGCCAGAGACGCACTCCCATATACACAGATACACATATGAAGCCTCAGAAATTTCTAGAAATGCACATCTATGTGTTTCTACATATGGACACATACAGATACACACAGAGAAAACAGCACAGTCACATAGACACACAGACCAAAAAAAAATTGCCCAGCACATAGAGACCCACAGAGACCCACAGACACACACTCACACACATATAGTGATAGATGGCAGATACACACACACAGAACCCCCGCACAGTAACTGAAAACATGCAAATTCCATTCATTCACTCATTCACTCCATCAACACCCTGACTGTGTGCCAAGTCTTGTGGGCTATGGAGAATCAGAGGAAGAGGTGCCCAGGTCCCTGCCCCCACAGAGCCCCGTTCAGTGGGCAGGTGCTCTCTCCTGAGCTCTTATGACACATGACACAGTGAGAGAAGTGATTAGGGTGAGCTCAGTGGCACCTGGCTGGGCCTGGGGGTGTGGACAGGAGGAGTCAGAAAAGGCTTCCTGCAGGAGCTAATCAGGCAAAGGGGGACGAGAAGATGAGGACAAGATGGCTGGCACAGCATGTGCAAAGGCCCTGAGGCAGGAGTGAGCTTGTTGAGTCTGAGGAACAGGAAGGTGCTAGATGGGAAATGCGGAAGTGTGAGGGGCCAAGAGACCATGAAGTCAGCAGGAGCCAGAGCACTCAGGAAACAAGAGGGAACCACAAAAGGGTTAGGGACCAAAATAAGCCTAGAAACAGACACACACAGAGAACATCCTCACCCCGACACCCCTGCAGATGCACTTCCCTTCACCCAGTAGGGAACGAAGAACCTACTTTGCCCAATGAAGACACACCCAAATCTGTGGCTGTAGAATTGGGTCACATACCTGTCACCGCTTTCTTCCCTTTCCCCACACTCTTCCCCAACAAAGAGAGTGAACATATACATACGCAGGCACACAGAGATGCACACTCTGCCCTCTACCCCAGCCCAGGGCACCACCGTCAGATGGACCCTTCTTCCCAAACACCCTCTTCCCCCTGTCCTGGCCTTTTCCCAGCTGGAAGTCCCTCTTCAGAGCCCAGAGCTGGGCAGAGTGCAGCCTGGGATCGCACAGAAAATCTCTCTGTGGGTTTGGGGGTGGTATCATAGCATGTGGGGAGGGGGCAGCATGAGCATAGAGAACAATGGAGGGGGTCAGCTGGGGTGCTGCAGGCTGACCCTCCCCCATGGGGTTCCCCACCACCCGCTCCCAGCCCATCTGGACCGGAACCAGCACCAGAAGCATCCTGAATCCTGCTGTCTCCATAGGAACCCAGGGCCTCGGCCACCCGCCCACCTGCCCACCCACACCGCTCAGGCCTGCGGGGGCGGGGCGGGAGCCAACCATGGCCCAGCCCCACATTCCTCCACCCCCGCCCAAAACTCACTCATCAAACACCCTCACGTCCTCACTTGTCCTCACGATGGCATCTGTGTACCCAAACAAGCAGACACTGGTGCTCACCTGTGTATGCAGGGCAGCCCACGGGTGTGCACACATCCACGCCCCCACACACACCACCGGGACACAATGTGAGCCCGTGAGCCGCACACCCCCAGAGACACGCACATGTGGTCACAGGCATTCACATCAGCCCTCCAACACCCCCCCCCCACACTCACAAGCAGGCCCAGCGGGGCACGCATGCGCGCACACACACACACACACACGCACACACACACATGCACACACACACACACACATGCACGCCCCAGTGCCCGCAGCACCCAGCAGGCCCGGAACCAGCCAGCCCAGCCAAGCGTGAGATGCCCGCCTCCGGGGAGGCCACTATGGGAGGCTGGCAGCCGCTGAGTCAGCCCCAGGACACCGGCAGGGACATCATCTGGTCCGGGGGAAGGTGTCGGCCAGTCGGTGGGGCAGGATGGGGAGAGGAGCTGACAGCCCCAGCTGTCTGTCCCCAGAGGGGCCAAAGCACAAAGCAGTCACTTTCAGCCCCACACGTCCACCCTTGGCATAAGCATTACCGCCGGCCGGCTCCTCTTTTCAACGTGAAATCTTGTGCCTGGACTCGCCAGGTCTAGAAGGAGCTGCTCCTCCTCCATCCCCCGCCCTGTTCCTCTTTCCCCAGGCCCGGCCTGTCCACTCCTCACCTGGCCACCACCTCGTCATCCACCTTCACGATGCAGTAGGGGTCACTGCTCCCAGACCTGCAGGAGGAGGATGTTCAGGAGGGAGGTTGAGAGGGCAGCCATGAGTGGAGGTCCCAATCCACCCTCATTATGTACAGATAAGGGCAACTGCGGCCCAGAGAGGGGAGGGGACTGGCCCGGGGTCACACAGCAAGTCGGGCTAAGGGGCAGAACCTCGGGAGACCAGCAGGAGAGGTCACAGGTGCACAGCCCACCCACTGCTTGCCCGACCCCCATGCAGGGGCTCTCTGGGCTTCCACCCATAGAAACAACATTGAGGCATGAGGCCAGAAAGTTCCCAGTGCTGGTCCCAGGAAGCCCGGAGCCGTGGTCAACAGCATGAGCTGGAGAGGCATCCCAGTGTTACTGTGTGTTAGCTGTGGAACCCAGGAAGCCCCATCCTCTCTGTGGGTGCTGGGTTTTCCTCTCTATGATGTTTACACACATCTCTGGGGGGGGTGGGGGGGCTGGAGGAACTAAAGGAGAAAATGCATGGTGGGATGCATCACCGGCCGGCCCCAGAGCTCTCCTCCGGGAGCCTTAACGCTACCCTCTGGAGAAAGCATTGCCGACCAGCTTTTCATTTCCACGGGACTTTCCCTGGCGGGGGTGGGGGGGTTGGGGGAACTCCCGATGCTCAGCCCAGTGGGGCCGCACCTCTGCTGGCACAGACCAGGGCACCCAGATCTCAAAACAACATCCCACAGCAGCCCCTTGAGGAGGCATCAGCCATGAGCCAACCAAAGCCAGCTCCATCCCCCCTTCATAATAAGAGTTACCAGCCTCATCCCGAGCTGTCCACCAGGGTCCTCATCTTGCCTCTGTCCCATCGCACAGGCCTCCTTTGTCTTCCACCAAGCTCAGTCCAGCCTCAGGGACTTTGCACTCGCTGTTGCAACTGCCTAAGACACCCTGGGAGCCTCAGTTTCCTAATCTGGCTCTATGCCCCAGGATGCCTGTGTCTGGGGAACCCCTATATCTCATTTCTCTGGCTGGGTTCTCCGTTCCTGAGCCTCTTTTAGGTACGGTCCCGTTCCTCAGTTTCCCTGACGGCAGACGTGGAGGAAGATTGGCTGGGATCCCGCTAGCAAAGAGCTGGGAGACACGCCCCCCTCCGTCCACCAAGCCTGACCCTGGGGCCCCTCTTGGGAGCCAAGCTCGCTCGTTGGCTCCACAGCTCTGACGCACAAGGGCCTTATCAGGCTCCCATCAGGTAGGAGGTAGCAATAGCAGGAGGGGTGACCCCTCCGGACCCTCAATCTCTCCAGACCCTTGACCTCTCCCATGGGCCCTGCCCCAACTCAAGTGTGGGAAAGAAGACCCCTCAGCCACTGCCTGCCCAGTGTGGTTTATTCATGGGAGCAGTCAGGGCTCAAATCCCAGCTGTGTGACCTTGGGCAAGTGACTTTGCCTCTCTGGGCCTGTTTCCCCTATTTATAAATGGAAATGCTCATAGGACCATAGGAAGTGTTAAGGATAGGACCTGGCCCAGAGTAAGCCCTGGAACGACTTACAGCTGCTATTCATAAGAGTAATACTCAAAAATTGTCAGTGGGGGCCTCCTCCAGAGTCAGGTCAGACCCCCCCTCAAAACTGACAAAGCTTCAGGACGAGTCTGGGCCCTTTCCCTTAGGAGACCAGAGAGAGAACACGCCCCCATCTAAGAGTTTCCATGGGTGTGAAGATCCCAGCAGGCTCTGAGGACAGCCCCTCTGAAGAAGGGAGCCAACAGCTAGGGAAACTGAGGCAGGGTGGCTCAACTAGGGCTTAGTGACTCCTTCCCACCCTTGCTCTGGGGCTCACCTTGGCCCGAGAACTTGGGGGAGAAAGGGTGGCCAAGAGGTGTAGGAACCAGGTATGAGTTAAGTCCCTCTGCAGGAGAGGCAGAAGGAGGCCCGCGAGCTATGTCCACCCTACAAGCCATGTCCACCCCATGAGCTGTGTCCAGGGCCAAGGGCAGCACCCGCCACTCCCTCATGGCCCTCACCCAGGACCAGGAGATGGAAACCTGATTTTTGGAGGGGCTCCCCCTCAGCCCTCCGGCAGTTTCCAGGCCCCAATTCCTGGCCTCCCTGACCCGACAGTTCCAGAATGTCATTCTCAGAGGCTCTGAGAGGGTGTCCCAGAAGAGGGAAGCAGGGGCTTGTCCAGATGCTACATTCACACAGCAAGTGCTCTGCTTCTATCCCAGGTGCATGTTTATTTGGGGTAGCTGATGAGGATGAGGGGAAGCTAAAACTGCTCTCGGCAGCCCAGGGTTGGGGAGGGGCAAGGTTCATAAAATCAAAGGCAGGAGACTCCTCACCGGGGACCCACAGCTGGGGGAGTCAGGGCATATCTAAGCCCTCATCTCAACTTGGGTAAAGGCTCAGAATCCAGATTTCTGCTCACTCTGGCCATGGGGTAAATCCTAACAGGTTCTCCACCCCCCACAGCTGCTCTGGGCTGGGTGGATCCTGTCCAGAGCTCCCATTGTCCAGGTGGGAAATCGAGATCCAAGAGGACCGTGTTCAAGGTCACACAGCTGATGTCCTGCCAAGGATCCCACACCTGTCCCAGGTGCTGACACCTCACAGCCCCTTCTGGGCTCCAGGCCAAGCAGGAGGGGGACCCCTCCTGCCATTCTGCTGATTCAGCAACTGCTGACTCAGCCCTGGAGGAAGCAGAGCCAAGGACTGGTACCAACAGGAGCCCAAGGGTCCTCCGGCCCCACCACATCTGGCTGGAGAGGGTGCTACGGTGGGGGGGGGGGGGCTCTTCAAGGCACTCAGCATCCAGGGAAGGCCACACAGGGAGCTCCTCTCTGGGGAGCTCAGGGCTCTGGGTCCAGAGGACCCCAGTCTCCCCCAGGCCTGGCTGGTGGGCCACCTGATGACTGTCTTTGAATCTAAACACCAGACGGACACAGAGGAATGCTGAGGCCAACCGGCGCTCTGGGCCTTCTTCCCAGGGTTCTTTTGATAGGCACCCACCCTGCCTGAACTAAGGAAGAGGACCCCCCCCCATGCCCTCCCCAGCTCCAACAAAATCCGACCCTCCAATCCCCTTTAGTACATCCTAGAAACAAAGACACCCCCCTTCCAGGGAGCAGGGTGGCGTATCTGCTAAGTCTGGGCGCCCCTTTCCACTAGGACAGCCATGGGCATGGGGTTTTAGCCCCGTGAAGGCGGATCTGCATCAATACTGTGTCTTAGACAAGAACCCCCTGCCCACCTCACCCACCCTCCCCGGCACGCGGAACGGGCGACCCCGGCCCCATCCCATGTCCGGTGCGCCCCTCACCCGCGACTCGCCCCGGGGTACTCACACGTCCTTGGCGGGCAGCGCCCGGCCCTCCACCACGCGGACATTCAGGGAGCTGCTCTTGGCCATGGCGCCCAGCCCCAAACTTTACGGGCAGAAGGGTATCCAGGTGCCGAGGCTGGAACGTGGAGGGCGCGTCTACATGTCACCAGCTGCGAGCCTGGCGCCCCGTCCCGGGGTCCCAGCGCCGCCTATGCGAGACGCGGGTAGCTAGGCGGGAGGTTTCCGGAGGAGAAAGAATAGGTGTCCGGCGAGGGGGAGCCCCTCGGGCTCTACAGGTAGGAGCGTGCGCGGAGGAGGCAGAGCGCGCAGGGGGCACCCGCCGCTCGTGTCTCCTAGTCTGGAGCTCCGGGTGGGCGGGCAGGGGGCGGGAGGGGCAGCCCAGGGCCCTCCCCCC